TTCTCCACTTGAAATGGCAGGGAGAAGGAAGCACGGGCCTTCTGGGGGCCAGCCAGCAGCAGTCTCACCAAGCCAGCCAATCACATTTACATCTAGCTTTCTCCAGAGCTGCTCTGCTCCTAAAATGCACGCTTGGGTTCTCGCCCCAGCCTTCTGCCTCATGTCCCTCTCCAGCTCAGCCGCTTCTCCGTGTCCCACTCCTCACAAGTCCTTCCAACTGTCGCTAACACACTCGCAACCCAGTCTTGCCAGATCCCACCTCTAAGACATCCCTGAATCAACACACACTTCGGACTACTCCTTTGCAGGCTTCTCACCCCTGGTAGAAAAACTCCAGCGTGTGCAGTGATGCTTTACAAATATAAGGTCACTATGCTCCTCCAGGACCTCCAGGACACCAAGCAGCCCACTGGGTGCTGACACCAGCTCTGTTGTGAGTCGCTGTCCTGTCAGCTCTATTTGCAGAGAAGAACTGCTCCCCTGGGTTTTTGTTTTTCAAGGCGGCCACTTTTCAGATGCTGATGCTAGGCTGCCTTCCCAGGGGCCTCTGGGTAGTCACTAACCTTTAGGCTACTGGTCCAGCGCTTAACAGTTTGGGCCACCCAGGAACTTCCAGCAGAACTCTGGGGAACTATGGGAAGGCTTGGTACGTCTGAAACTAGTCTTGATCATCACCCAGCACCTTACTTCAAACCTAAAAACACCACCACGTGAGATAGGGACGGCCTTCATTCTCACTTTACTGAAGGGAAACAGGCCCAAGGCTGACAGGGCGGCACCACAGCCACACAGTGGAACTAAATAGCAAAGCCCACTCAGGTGGCACTCAGTGCCGCTCGCAGCAGTGTGAGCCCAGGCAGACCCCACCTGTCACTAAACTGCCCTGGCACGAGTTCCTAAGTGAAAAAACAGCAGAGATTCTTCGCTGCAAATTCCACCCGGGAGTCCCTTTCACCCGCCCTCACCCCCCCATCCCCCTCCAAGGGTGGGTGTTCTTTGGAAACCAGTGCGCTGCGCCCGCGGGGGCAGGTGGGGAGGCCCAGGGGCCGCGCACCCCGCGTTACTTCTAGGTCATCGTTACTCAGCACTTTGGGGTTCGCTTGGCTGCGGGGCAGAGGCGAGGGCGTGGCGGGGCTCTTCCAGGAATCCAGGCCTGCCTGGGCGGTCCTGGGGCGGCCTATCTCGAGCCCGTGGGTGCGTAGGATTACGGCCCGGCTCGCCCTTCCCGCGTAGCCCGGAGGAGCCCCGTGGTTCTGGAGAAGATGGTTTGGTCCGCCTCCGCACCTCCCACCGCGGACGCGGGGAACTGCGTGCGCCTGCGCGGTCATTCGACAGCTCCCCAAGAACACCCACCCACCCACCCATCGGGCATGGGAGCAGTGGGGCTGGCGTGGTGGCTCGCAGACTCGGGTTCCCGGAGTTCCTCCCG